TTGAATATTTTTAGTAGTAATGATTAGAAGCTGAATACAGCTAACTGGTGGAATGTATATAATTTACTCCTTCTTACAGAGCATGCTTCATCTCATTACTTTGCAAACTAATTACAATGCTAGAATTATCCATTAATTTCCAAAATAAAGTAAATACAGTTATGGTGAGCATATATAAATGGCAAATTATTTGGTCCTAAAGGAGCTAGTCCCAAATATACATAGTATTTAATGCCCTTTACCATTTCAGATGCCAACAATTTTTTTTTTGGGGGGGAGAGGTTTTTGCTATAGGCACGTGTGCTGGCCAGACAGACAGAGAGAGACAGAAAGTGAGAAATTGTCCACCCGGGGGGATGGCCATGCCACAATCCTGTCTCCATTTTCCTCTCAGGATCTAGGGCACGCACGCACACTCACTCGGCGTGCGTGCCACCGGGTCTGGGACTGGAACTGCGGTCGACTACATGGGAGTCCAGTGACATAGCCATTACGCTAACTGCTGGTCCAATGCCAACAATTGTTTAATCTCTGATTCTTGACCTCCTTTAAGCATCCTAGCAGAACTCCTAGACAACCAGGGTCTTTTTTTTCCAGGTTCACTAGGAACCTGTTTTGTTTTAGAAAAGTCTTTAATTTCCATTTAAATCTTTTTGGTTTCATAATTTTACCATTAACTAATAGAACTACACACAGGATATAATTTTACATATGATTGGCTAAAATATGAATATGCATTTATTGATGTGTGAGCCTCTTTTTACTGTCTCAAATTGAAATTTAATGTATGTATATCAATGAATATCTATTTTCTTTTTTAACCTGTCTTTATTGATTAATTAATTAATTCTACACACCACTGTTGAGTGCTAACTATGTGAACACTCTAATCTGGATATTCTAGAAAAACTAGGAATTTTTGTTAACCGATGCTTGCTTTCAAGAAGGTTAGTAAGTATCTAATGGTCAAGAAAAACATAGAAAAAACAAACTATAATTTAAAAAAATTAGATTAAGCTATTTTTTCCCTAACTTTTGCCAGAGGGCACATGTACTCACTGGAGAGAGACAGAGAGAGAAAGAGAGGGAAAAATGAGAAAGCACCCCCCTCCCTCATCACATACACACAAGGTATGGATGGTCAAACCACAATCCCTGTTCCTCCAATCCCCCCTTCTAGGATTTTAGGCTCATATGCACACATTCCTGGCATGTTTTTCAAGCTGCCACTGCCATTCTGGGACTTGAACCACACAATTGACCATGTGGGATCTAGCCACCTTAACCACCATGCTATGGGCTGGCCCTAAATTAAGCTATATTTTATGGGAGGAAGGAGTGACTGCTTTTTCCTTGAATGAGCGCTTTCCAACTGTCTTTAATCACATTTGCATCTCCTAAGGTGTAATCTAACTCCTATTTTTGGGGCCTGGTTTTATCAGAGTTTCAAATTCATGATTCTGGGTTTTACAGCTGATGTAGTCTACAAAAGTATACTGTTTTTGACGATTTTATCCCTCCCCCCACCCCACCCCACCTCCAGTTAACAAGTTTCCATAGGTTAAAGAAACTTTGAGTGCCAAACTTATCTTTCTCATTCTCTGTTTCCTGTCAGAAAATTCTTCACTATCTTATTAAGTTTTCATTCTCAAGAGATTTTAAAAAATGCTTTTTTTCTAGCACTGGTAGTTATTTTCAGTGCGAGGGACAAATACGACTTACTAAGACCTCCTGTGCTGAAAGTGTCAATGTTTATCTCTGCTTTGCTCATTTCTTATTGAGTACTTTCATGAATGAACAAATGAACAACAACAAAAAAGAGTCTGTTTAGGATAAAAGATAACAATACTATTCTACTTCTTATTTTAATAAATATTTATTTATTTAGTGATAGGGCACGTGCACTGGTTGGAGAAAGAGAGAGAAAGTGAGAAAATGAGAAATTACTCCTCAGGATGGATGGCCATGCCAAAATTCCTTCTCCATTCTCCTCTTGGGAGTTTGGGCATGCACACACATGGCGTGATTTTTCAAGCCTCTGGATCTGGGACTTGAATTGCGGTTAGCCATGTTGGAGTCTAGCACCTTAACTATCAGGCAACCTGCTGGCTCCATATTCTGCTTCTGACTGTACTCTATTGCAGAGTTTAGCCATAGTGACTTGGTGTGCCATTTTCCTTCAGAGAAGACCCTGTGCTGATTTTGCTCTGTGGATGGGTGCATTGCCAAGTGTGTACAGGTCTTTGGCAGTGGTTATGGCGTCCTTTTCAAATACTCTGTGAGAATTGTGACAAGATGTGGCCGTACAGATAAATACTTTCATTCACTGAGCTTCTAAGGCCTCATGTCCAGAGGACTGTGGTGAAAGCTGATGTGGACATTATAAAGATCAGGCTTTATTACATAGATAAGGAAAGATTTATAAAGGTTATAAAGGTAGAGTGCTGTTTAACTTCTCTATTGAAGTAGTGGCTCTCTCAGCTTGTGGTCTGTAATTGAGTCTTTTATTCTGGGCAATTTGGGGATCCTCAGCATAACTTTAGCACTGTAATTATCTTTGCTTGCAATTGATTTTGTTAGAAGGATATGTTCTGCTCTATAAGTAACAATATAAAACACGTAAATAGTTGTTACTATGTGCCAGACTATGTTAAAATCTTTACTTTTTAAAAATAGTTTTATTTCTACAGGAACACATATGAGACAAAGATTCTTAGTAAAATTGCACAATTAGACAATAGGGGCAAATAAAGGATCTCGGACAATCTTGGCCTGAAGTTCAAGTTCCCATGTCCTATATTATAATAATATAATAGATTGTAATAATAATCAGCATTTGGACAGTTAGAAACATAATGTTTTATACAAGAGAAATGATGACTATTTCTCTCCACTAGATTCCCCAGTTTTAAAAGTAGATGATAAAAGCAAAGGAAGGAGCCATTTCAAAGAAAAATAAACAGAAATATCTTGGAAGTAAGTTGTCAGATAAGCAATGAGGCGATTTTTCCAAGGGCATAAAGCAAGTGTCACAGTTGTGTTTCAAATTGGTATTTTCACTAGAGTTTGGTCATCTGTCTATATAAGAACATTGTCAAATAAAAGCTATAGAATCACTCATTTTTACAAGGTGACTACTGTGTGTAAGCACTTCTCCTGGATCTATGATTTAAACATCTTTCAATCACAGATAAATACAGAGCGGCTCTCAATGGAGCCAAGAACTGTCTCCTAACATGGCTCCTTGCCAAAACACACTCAGCTTCCACACTCTGTCTGCTGCCCTCCCATAGAGAACAGGAGGGCTTTGTGGTCTTTTGGTTCTCCTAGTGGAAAATTTCTATAGACTAAGCAGAGAGACAGCACAAGGCAGACAATTTGCAAGTGGACACCAGTCCATGCCAAAGCCCCTGGGGATTATAAAAAGAAGCAGACTCCTACAGTGTGAATCTGCTCGTTTCATACCATAAATGGAAATTGTTTAGAAAATCTAAAGAGGTTGTAATGACTGAACATCAATACTGTGCCTCTATCCTTGATGAAAACATGGTAAGAGTAAGTGATTTCAAACCAGTCAAGGAATGATGAAAAAAAGCTTTAGGCAGCATCAAAGGACACCACAAAAATGAACACCATAATCTAATTGCTAAGCATGAAAAAGTCCACTGAAATTTTTATAAGAATATGCATGTATTTTTCCATAATTAAAGAATACTATTATCATTTATGACAGGATGAAAGACAAAATTTTTTTGTGATTCAATGTGAATGAATTGTGATTATGTCTATATGTTTAAAGTTTGTCTAAAAATAAACAATATCTTTCTGCTTTTGTTTTTGTTTTTCTTAGCTGAGTTCAGGGAACTTTTATATTGTAATATTCTGAATCTCTTTTAATTAAGAGATGAAAGATACCAAATTACCTCCATGTGATTGATCAGTGATATCTTATAAACAAGACACATAAGTCCACTTGCCTCTTTTGGACAGAAGAGGCTTCCAAGCGATGCTAGGATTTCTAAGGGAGGCAGCAATACACCTGCTCTATGCTATTTAAAAAAAAAAAAAAAAACTGCGCATGTATTTTTGAGGCCTGTATGGTTTTTCCCCTGAAAACTGTCACTTCCATGAGAGCTATATTCAACCAGGTTAATGAACTACAACGTACATAAAACATGACACAGTTTTAGGAGATGGAATTTGAATATAATTTTTGTAGTTTATTACAATTAGTAGGATAAATATAGTATCAACATCATATTAGGTGATTATTTAGATAATTTATATGAATATTAGATCTTTATTTATTTATGTTTTTTTCATTTACTCAGTTGTTAAAAACATGGGTCTGGAGCCAGCAGGTGCCTTGGTGTTTAAAGGCACCAGACTCTCACATGGCTGACCATGGTTTGAATCCCAGACCTGGTGGCTTGGCTTGCTTTCTCACTTTCCCTCTCTCCTTTTCACCTGTCACTCTCTGATCAAATTAAAATAAATAAGTAAGTAAATAAGTAAATCAATAAAGTTCAATAAAATAACTTTTAAAAACTAAACATAACATGGGCCCAGCAGGTGGCATGGTTATGAAGGCATTGAAGACACTGGACTCCCACATGACTGACCCCAGTTCGAGTCCCAGGCCTGGCAGTTTGCTTTCTTACTTTCTCTCTCTTTTTTTCTCTCTCTAATGAGCACATGTGCCCTACTGCAAATTTAAAAATAATAATAATGATGAATAAAGTTAAATGAATAAGTCTTGAAAAATAAGTAGTTGATACATTCTTGCATCTGTTGAGCTAGAATAAATTATGCTGTGGTAAAAATAATCTTGAGATCTTACTGACTTTCAGAAACAGAAGTTTATGTCTTATGAACATGACTTAATGCTGTGGTTTGAGTGTCCCCACTCGATCTCATGTTGACCTTAATTACCACAGTGATGGTGTTAAGGGGTGGGGCTGCTCTTTCCACCATCTTTCTATGCTGCCATAATGGTGTGCATGAATGTCCTGACTGATGCCCTCAAGAGCATCAACGATGCCAAAAAGAGAGGCAAATGCCACGTTCTTATTAGGCCGTGCTCCAAAGTCATCGTCTGGTTTCTAATTGTGATGACGAAGCATGTTTACATGGGCGAATTTGAAATCATTGATGACCACAGAGCTGCAAGAATTGTGAACCTCACTGGCAGATTAAACAAATGTGGAGTGATCAGCCCCGTATTTGATGTGCAACTTAAAGATCTAGAGAAATGGCGGAATAATCTGTTCCCATCCTGTCAGTTTGGTTTCATTGCACTGACATCCTCAGCTGGCATCATGGACCATGAAGAAGCAAGGCAGAAACATACAGGAGGGAAAACCCTGGACTTCTTTGTCTAGGGATGTAATACACACATACACACAAAATGCCTCATTGGGGGAAAAAAAGAGGTGGGGTCTTAAAGAGATTAGGGTATAAGGGCTCTGCCTTCATGACTAGGTCAATGTAGTTACTCTGGTGGTGGAATAATTATGGTGGGGACCCACTCGGGTTTGATCCCCTTTTTCTCTTTATTTTAGGTGCTTACTTTCCCTTCTGATATGGAATAATGCAGCAAAAAAGCCATTACCACATGCTGAACAGATGGTACTACCATGCCCTTGGACTTTTCAGTTCTTCAGAGCTGTGAGCTAAGTAACTTTCTACTGTATATAAATTACCCAGTCTGTGGTGTTCTGTTAAAGCAGCAGGAAACAGACTCAGACATTTGCCCATCATGAGTTGACTGAAGACCCCAGTTCATGTGTCCCTATTCCAAGACTGAGACTGACAGAGCAGATTACATCTTGAAGGCTGTTGCTTGACAACGCAAGTGGAAAACCAGTGTTGTGACTTCTGTACTAATTCTTAAAGCTTCTACCTGAAGGTGACACAAATCACTTTCATAAGAAGTTATACAGGGAAAAAATAAGCTCAATCCTGACATGTACTCTGATGGAGAATCAAACATATTTGGTGGCCAGCACTAACATATATCATAGTATTCAGTTCCCCCAAACAGTAAGAACTGATAAAGCAAATTCAGTATGTAAAGCAGCATGTCAGAGTATAAAACCTTCCAGTTAGGCAAGCAGAACTTCAAAGTTTTCCTCAGTTCTTCTTTGCAGCAAGCCTCCGTATTAGTTAGTTACACTTATTACCTTGGATTGATCTCTTCTGATTCTCTCCAAGTTACTCTTATCCTGTTATTTTTATTATAGTCCCTCTTTTGGAGCCACCACGGCTGCCTTACTTTCCTCCATAAACATATTAGGCACAGTGCTGCCTTAGGACTGTCCCTGCCCACTTAACCTGACATACTCACTGAGTTTAAAGATCTGAAAACAGCTCCATTCTCCTGTCAAACTCTGATGTTCAGATATATGTAATTTTGGCTGCTGAGCAGAGTGAACCCAGAGGTAGTGCAATTGTGGGGAGCAAAAAAAAAGGAGGCCACTGAGAGTAAAGTGAAGAAGGCATTACATGGAATAAGATAAACTGAACAATTAAGTCTCAGGACTGGAGTACTGCAATGCAGCTGATTGGGTAGTTCATTCCAGTTCAGCCACCATTATGTATACATGAATTCTGAGAGAAAAAGGGGTGAAGTGTGTGTGTGTGTGTGTGTGTGTAGAGAACCTATGTGGTGACTGGTAACTTAAGCAACCTCGTTGTGGATGTTTTGCAATGACATAGAGTTAATGTTCCGGTTCACTGACACTGGGTCTCATTGGTACTGGGATGGCAGTCCTGGAAGTGGGAAAAGAGCTTGAGTAATACCTCAGAGCTCTCAAACCTAGGGTTGCAGCATCCTGGCTCAGCTGGCAGGAGAAGGAACAAAAGACATTACTAACCACTATGACATTTGAAACAATGGATCAGTAACTGAGAGTAAATAATATGTAGATCCCTAAGGTGCAGTTGTGACACTGTTTTTTGGTCATAGCAGAGTTGCAGGTCCTCTTGCAGGAGAAACCTCAGGATCCAACATGGTCATTGCTGCCTCAAGAACCTTGGAATCTTAGGTTACTCATCCTTCCTGGGGTCTTAGATGTGATCATCCTTTCAGCATTTAAGAACCATGTGATCTCATCAGAGATTCTGATCTTTGGTGTGGGTTCTTGCCACTGGTGGAGCCACAGCCACTCTTCTGACTTCCGCATGCTCTAGTCACAAGAAAGATAACTCACTTTTCTTTTGGAACTGTTGCCCACATATTCATTTTGTATTGAAAATATAAGCTTTATTTTCATTTAGCACAACCTTTTTCTTTTTTTTTTTTGTATCCATCAGGAGAACCCTCAATGACTCAAATCATTCTGTTGTGCTCATCTTGACATTGATATTTTGGGCCTTAAAGACGGCAGACAGCCCTAAAGGGAGCTCATTATCATTACTGACAGTTTGATAAGGGGTAATATAAAGAGTTCTAGCTGTGGAATTACTTTTGTGAAGTATTACAAAAATTGGGAATTAAATTTTTGAATAAACTTGGGGCTAGTGCTGGTAACTTAAGCAACCTCGTTGTGGATGTTTTGCAATGACATAGAGTTAATGTTCCGGTTCACTGACACTGGGTCTCATTGGTACTGGGATGGCAGTCCTGGAAGTGGGAAAAGAGCTTGAGTAATACCTCAGAGCTCTCAAACCTAGGGTTGCAGCATCCTGGCTCAGCTGGCAGGAGAAGGAACAAAAGACATTACTAACCACTATGACATTTGAAACAATGGATCAGTAACTGAGAGTAAATAATATGTAGATCCCTAAGGTGCAGTTGTGACACTGTTTTTTGGTCATAGCAGAGTTGCAGGTCCTCTTGCAGGAGAAACCTCAGGATCCAACATGGTCATTGCTGCCTCAAGAACCTTGGAATCTTAGGTTACTCATCCTTCCTGGGGTCTTAGATGTGATCATCCTTTCAGCATTTAAGAACCATGTGATCTCATCAGAGATTCTGATCTTTGGTGTGGGTTCTTGCCACTGGTGGAGCCACAGCCACTCTTCTGACTTCCGCATGCTCTAGTCACAAGAAAGATAACTCACTTTTCTTTTGGAACTGTTGCCCACATATTCATTTTGTATTGAAAATATAAGCTTTATTTTCATTTAGCACAACCTTTTTCTTTTTTTTTTTTTGTATCCATCAGGAGAACCCTCAATGACTCAAATCATTCTGTTGTGCTCATCTTGACATTGATATTTTGGGCCTTAAAGACGGCAGACAGCCCTAAAGGGAGCTCATTATTATTACTGACAGTTTGATAAGGGGTAATATAAAGAGTTCTAGCTGTGGAATTACTTTTGTGAAGTATTACAAAAATTGGGAATTAAATTTTTGAATAAACTTGGGGCTAGTGCTAAACTCACTAAAGCACAATGGCTTGAAAAGAGCAACAATTCTCACAAAGAAAATAATTCCAAGAATATCTTTTAAAACAGCATATAAGATAGCCTTTACTTGACACATCTACCTAAATTCTACCTCCCTTCTTTTCCTTCCCTTCACTGTTTTTCCTTTTCCTTCCATCTTTCCTTTCCACTTTATTTTCCTCCTCTTCCTTCCCCATATCTCTTCCCCATCTCTGTGCTTCTCTTCTTCCCATTCTTTCATGGCAAACTTCTGACTCTGGTTTTCTAGTAAACAAACTTTGAACATTTTTTTTTTTTATCAACTTGTATAGTGCTTTAAAGTATCACTTAACATGTCTCTTGTATGATTTTACTTTTTCCTTTAAGTGCTTTTGTTCTAGTACTTCTTATTCTCCAGTGATCTTTGAGAATTCATAGATGACTTCTGTTTTTCTTTTGCACTTGCTAGATGAAGTGTTCTTTTTGGTCTAAAAGTGGTTGCACTTTAAACCTTTTGTAGTCATATCTAGAGCTCAGGAAACAAATTTTAAACAAATATTTTACTTAACATTTTTGGTTAACTAGAGTAATGGTGTAAAATATATAGATAATCTTTTTAAGTTCTGACAACATTTTGTTATTGTTAAGAAAAGAATTTTTATTTCTAAAGCATCTAAGACACTGGTTTATTATATCTGAAGATCATTGTCTTCACTAGATAATCTTAGATATTCTTATCTCTCTAGCTTATTCTTGTGTTTAAACTCATTTAGACACCATTAAAACATTGTATTTTTTTCTTTAGTACCAAGGTGATCAGTCTGATCTGACTTGATGTTACCTGACTATTAGGTCATGAAGAGCATTAAAAAGCATGATCATGTTCAAAGCTCTTAATATACAGGCCCTTTGATCTTGATTCACATGAAGATCAATGTATTTTTGACAGATGGTTGAAATATAATATGGAACAAAGCTAAATATTAGTAAATCATATTGAGTCATGAAGTTCTGATTTAGTAAATACCATAGAAAGCCGACTACTCTAAAAAGAATAAATGAAAATTGTACCCTTAATCCTTGATGTGAAAGTCTAGTTTGTGGAAACAAGGCAAAACTATGACCGAATTAATACATTTTCTCAACAAATGCTAAGCCATTGTGTTTGTTTTGTATTGCTGTGCAACAAACTGCCTGGAGTTTAGTGGCTTGAAACAACAGAAGTGTATTATCTTACAGTTCTGTAAGTCAGGAGTTTGACATAAGTCAGGTTAAGTTAAAATGAAAGTGATGGCAAAGCTATGTGCCTTTTGGAAGACAGTAGGGGAAATCTGTTGCCTTGCCTTTTCTAGCTACCTACCTTCTGTGACTCATAAACCTTTCCTTTGTCTAAAGCTTTTTCCATTTTTAAGATTTACATAGGGGCCAGCAAGTGGTGTAGTGGTTGAAGTGCTAGACTCCCACACGGTTAATTGTGGTGCTAAAGATCCAAAAGGAAGGAACACTCCCAAATTTGTTTTATGAAGCCTCTATCACCCTCATCCCCAAAATAGACATGGACATAAAAAAAAAAACAAAAACATAAAACTGGGACCAGTAATTGGAGTAATGGCTATGTCGCTGGACTTCCATGTAGTCGACCGTGGTTCAAGTCCCAGACCTGGTGACTTAAACTCACGCTGGGTGTGTGTGCGTGAGTGCCCAAGATCCAGAGAAGAGAATGGAGTAGAAAGAATTGCTGTGTAGCCATCCCCCCTGCAGGGAGATTTATCAGTTTCTGTCTCTCTGTCTCTTTCTCTCTTTCTGATGAGTGCACGCACCCTATAGCAAAAACCTCTCCAAGAAAACAAAACAAAACAAAACAAAAAAACCCTACTGGTGGAAAACACAGGGGAAACTCTTGGAGACATTGGAGTAGGCAAAAACTTCTTAAATAAGATCCCCAAAGCATAGGCAATAATCCCAAAAATAAACAAAGGAGAAGCTTCTGCAATAATTATAGTGAAGAGAC